TGTGGTTGTGATACGTTTTCGATTTTAGGGGTTGGCATGCGGGGTAGGGTAGGGGGTTCAAGGGGTTTTGGGGGTTTGGGGATGTGGGGGCCCGGGGGGGTATTAGGCTGGGCCAGGATTTGGGGTTCGGGGGCGGGGTTTAGGGTTTAGAGTAGTGGGCTCATGGGGTCTTGGGGGTTTGGGAATGTGGGGGCCCTGGGAGATATTAGGCTGGGCCAGGATTTGAGGTCGGGGGAGGCATACAAGGTTTAGGGTTTAGAGTAGTGGGCTCAGGGGGTTTGGGGGGTTTGGGGATGTGGGGGCCCTGGGGGATATTAGGCTGGGCCAGGATTTGAGGTAGGGGGAGGCATACAAGGTTTAGGGTTTAGAGTAGTGGGCTCATGGGGTTTTGGGGGTTTGGGGATGTGGGGCCCCTGGGGGATATTAGGCTGAGCCATGTTTGAGGTCGGGGGAGGCATACAAGGTTTAGGGTTTAGAGTAGTGGGCTCAGGGGGGTTTGGGGGTTTGGTGGTGTGGGGGTGTGGGGGTTTAGGGTTCTGGGTTGGGGGTGTGGGTTTGTGTTATGGTTGAGGGTTCAGTGGTTGGCATGTGCGGTTGGGGGTGTACAGGTTTAGGGGTTTACTGGTTAGGAGTTAGGGGCAAGGGGTTAGGGGCAAGGGGGTCCACATGAAAATAAATTCGATACCCCTAGAAAAAACAAATGTCGATCCCCAATTCAAAGGCTGCCGTGCAACACATCCCAACGTCCCGCAAAAAACAAACAACCGGTACACATCATTGGCAGAGAAGGTGAAAAGCAGACATCAACAGTTATTTCAATTTCTCAATTGACATCAGAGCATGCATTGAGTCATTCATCATGCATAGAGTTCAAGCAAGCAATGTCAATTACAATGGAAAACACAAATGAGTACGAACTCGCTCGCAAACACAATGTTGTGAAAACGAAATGTCAGAATATGAAGCATGGTCATCCAAAAGCGACAGCTGGAAGATAAGGAAGAAAAACATGAAACTAACATCTCTCTCTCTCTCTCTCTCTCTCTCTCTCTCTCTCTCTCTCTTCATGTGCTGCCCAATGTCTGTGGCCTGTGTCACC